AGGGCTGTGATCTCCTGGTGGTCCTCCGGTACTGGGGGAGCAGGGCTCCTGGGGGCATTGTCCTACCTGGGCCTCACCCAGGTCGGCCTCTCTCCCCAGCACACCCTGCTGTCCATGCTGGGTATCCCCGCCCTGATGCTGGTCAGGTGAGCCACCCTGGGCTTGGAGGAGGGAGGGATTGGATCTTGATCCCCGTCTGCAGAGCACTACAGACTTGTTATGAGGGAGTGGACGTGTTCCAAACTCTTATCTGCTGGGTTTGAGTTCCAGAGTTATCCCCTTATTAGGTGTGGCCTGGGGTAGGCTGCTTCACCTCTCTGACCTGCGGTTCTTCAAATGATGGTAGATCTCCTTGCTTCCCTGCGAGGGGATGTGTGTGAAGCATCCAGTATAGTGTGATTCCCACCATGTTAACATTTTTAAAGACTTATTTATGCATACTAGAACTGGGCTACAGGCCAGAGGTAGAGAGGTTGAGAGAATTCACCAGAGACAGAGTGGGGAGCAGAACAGGCAGATGGACTGAAATCCACTGCTGAGGAGAGCAGCAGGCAAGACAGGAGAGGTCTGCTGTGCCATGTGGGTCACCTCCCTGGCTATCAAACTCATGCTACAGTGGCTGCAGATAGCTTCATAGTGCTGCACTTTAATCCCTTGTGCCACCAAGGAGGGCCCTATGTTGTTAACTTGTGTGTACTTTCATACATATTAAGAACATATCTTCTCTAGCCCATCAAACTTGTAACTTCCCAAGGTTCTGTGGGAAAAAGAAAACAATGTAAAGAGAAAGTATTAAGGAAAAACTATTAAGTATGGGGGGAGATGTGGATATGGCAAATACCATACAGGGAAGATGTCAGCAACTGAAATTTGGGGGGTTCTGGCCTAACACAAGTGAATGCACAATACAGGGCAGCTGAGCAGTCACTAGGACAAGTGACCTGCTTGGGATAGCTTGAGCTGGTATTAACTAAGGCCCAAGGGTCAGAGCAAGGAGGAGGTAGATTTCTGATCTAGAGAAGAAAGCCTTTTTCCACAATTGGAGTGCTCTGACATGAAACCCCATTCATGGGGTGCTTAGAGAAATACAAGTTGGGGACTGCCCTGGGACTGAACCTTTTCAACCTGACAGCCTCTTCCACTTTGTCCCCATTCTGCCTGCTTTTAGCTATTTCTGGTTGCTCATATCTCCTGAGCTCCAGGATCCTGGAGGGGAAGATGAGGCAGAGACTGCCGCTCGGCAGCCCCTGATGAATGAGGCCCCAAAGTCAAAGCCAGGTAGGAGACAGGAGCCCCAGACCCGCTGGGAGGTCACTTTCTCTCTCTGGGTTTTGGTCTTTTCTGCCCTACAGTGGAGACAGTTCAAGGCGGGTGGGCGGGTGTGCTGGCATGCCGAGAGCCAAGCCACATCTGTCTATTCAAGCAACACTCACTGAGCACTTGCTAGGTGCCAGGAGTGCAGTGCCTGGGCTCTGAGATAAGGAAATGAAGCAGATTCGAAGCGACTGAATCGGAAGCATGTCGTTTTCCCCCATTGAAAACAGTGAGGCGTTAGAACATGACAGCTGGGGAAAAGTGGAGGGGCTTCTACTGTAACGAAGGTGGTGGGTGTGCTGCTGCTTTCGAGGAGGTACATTGGGCTAAAATTTGAATGATGTGGGGTCAGCCTGTGGACATGGGGGTGGCTGGGTTTTAGGCAGAGGGAGCAGCAGGGGCTCCGTGGTGGAAGCAAGCTCCACATTCAAGAAACAGAAAGAAGAGGCCATTGTGCCTGGGATATAGCCATGAGGAGATCTCATCTGGTCACACTGTTTTAATCCTGATAAAATATATGTAACCTGAAGTTTACCAGCTTAACATAACAATTTAACCATTTGTAATTGTACACTCGGCATTTAGTGTGTTCGCTTGTGTCAGAGGGTTGATTCTTGCACAACAGTGTGCCACCCTCACCGCCTTCTCTCCCTGCCCCCTGCAGGCCCCAGCTCAGACTTCTCCCCCCGGGAGAAGTGGATTGTGTTCAAGGTATGCGCGGTGGCTGTGGTGTGTCCCCGGGGCCAGTGCCATCTCCCAGCCTGCCACTCACGCGCTCTGACTCCCCCAGGGCCTGCTGCGGTATATCATCCCCTTGGTCCTGGTGTACTTTGCCGAGTATTTCATCAATCAGGGGCTTGTAAGTGACGGCTGCTGGGAGGGGTGGAGGTGGCACTCTGGGTGGAGATCCATGTCCCTGTCTGATCTTTGCTATAGTTTGAGCTCCTCTTCTTCCGGAACACGGCCCTGAGCCACGCTCAGCAGTACCGCTGGTGAGAGCAGTGAGGTGGGAGGCAGGGGGCTGGGAGGCCCCCACAGCCCTGGGTGGAGGGGGACTGCCCTGCCGAGTGGACACCAGAAAGGCTGCCTTCTCCCGGCTCCTTCCTATCTAAGGTACCAGATGCTGTACCAGGCCGGCGTCTTCGCCTCCCGCTCTTCTCTCCGCTGTTGTCACATCCGCTACACGTGGGTCCTGGCCCTGCTGCAGGTACTGTGACCCTAGTCATCCCTCTTCTCGCACTTTGGCTCCCAGCTTCCCCGGGCCTGCATGTATCCCCCCCTCACCCCTACTCTTCAGCAGGAAGTGTGTATTGCTCCCTGTCAAGTGGTAAGCACAGGAAACACAAAGCCCCTGGGGCCCTGTGTTAAAATGTGCCCTCAGGAGCCAGCAGACCTGGGTGCAAACCCAGCTTCTGTACTCGGTGGCCGTGTGATTCAGCACACACCTCTCTGTGAATCTCAGCTTCTCTGTAAATTGGGCACAGCCAGCAGCTACTTCACTGAGTAGTTGTAAGAAATAGACATGAGAAGAATGAAAAAGCACGATTTTGTATTGTGTTTTAATCAGTCGGAACACTTACTCAGGAATTACCTGCACAAGCCTCAGGCACAGGCTGTTGATATCTCGAGCAGTAAGGAAAGGTACAGTTCTTCTCTTCTGGCTGGTCAATCATAATGGAACTCGTGACATTATAGTCAGTAGGTCATTCATCTCCTGGCTAGGAAGCAGAGGTCGCCTCCTGCTTTGAAGGAACAAGCACAATGCCACCTCACGGGCATTCATTGTTTCAAGTCACAAGTGTATAATCCCTGAAGAGATTTTACGCTGCATCTTCTCCTCCTCCAGAAAAGTCTTTTCTCCTTTTAGAAGTCCCAAAGTGTTGTATCACCCTCTTTTAACTCCGGGTTTTTCATTTCATTATTGTCACTGAAATGTGCAGCTTGGAATAATTTTCACCAAGGCTGCTTCAGAAAATTAGGGGCTGATAATCATTTCATGCCATAGCCAAGTGGCCAGGTGCAAGTGTCTGCAGTTTCATCAGCCACATGAGTATTTCCTAAGGGTTCTTTGACATGCAGAAACCGGAGTTAGAAGCTCTGAGGACCAGACCTGTGGGGTCAGCAGGGAACACATTTACCCATCACACCTGTGAGCCTACACACTGAGGAGGCAACCCCATGCACTCAGACCTGGGAGAGTGGGGTCCCCTAGGGCACCAGGGCCCAGAGCAGTGACCTGCTCCCTTGGGCAGGGTCAAGGAGACTTCTGGAAAGGATTGGGAACACCTAAACAAGGGTATCTCAGCCAAGGGTATCAGGGCATGTCAGTGTGGGGCCAGGTCTCCTGTGCTGTGGAATGCTTTCCTGAGCAGCATTCCTGGCCTCTTAGCAACTGGAGCCCAGCGGCACCCCTCCCAGCTGTGGCCACTGGCACATCTCCATGTGTTGCCAAAGGCCCCTGGCAGCAAAGTCACCCCTGATTGAAAACCTCAGGTCTAAATATAGCCTTGGCTTGGCAAAAAGGGGAGCAAATGCTGTATTCACAGCCCTTGGGAGGAGTGAGGTCACAGGAGTGACCCTGAGTCTTAGCTGAGGTGGGAACTGTGGTCACTTGGAGGTTCCAAGTGAGGGAAGGCATGACACCCCAGAGGGAGGAGTGATGAGCACAGTCAAGGAGGGAAGACACCTACAAGGTCTGAGCACTGGAGGAGACCTGCCCAGATCCCAGGTTCTGCTAGGCCAGCAGGGCATGGTGACTGACCCAGACCTGTCGCCCTTTCCCCGATCAGCATCTCCCTGATCTAGGGGCCACTGGAAGGGATGGCAGTCTCCCTTCCTGCCTAGCTGGCCCTGTGATCAGCCCTCCCCTTCACCTGAATCCGCAGTGCCTCACTCTGGCCTTCCTTTTGGCGGACGTATGTTTGAGCTTCCTGTCAAGCATCTACTTCGTCTTCCTGATCATTCTGTTTGAAGGGCTCCTAGGGGGTGCAGCCTACGTGAATACCTTCCACAACATTTCCCTAGAGGTCAGTGCCTGCTGGGTGAGGGCTGAGGGGGGCCTTTCTGGGGAAGCCCAGGGTGGGGGCTTCTAGTATTCAAGCCTCCATCCCGGCTGCCTGCCCTCTCCAGACCAGTCCCAAGCACCGGGAATTCGCCATGGCAGCTGCCTGTGTCTCCGATACCTTGGGGATCTCACTATCAGGGCTCCTGGCCCTGCCTCTGCACGACTTCCTTTGCCACCTCACCTGACACTACAGATCCTTGGGACACAGGACATATTGACCTGGGCAATGGGCAGGCAGGCCACAGCTCCAGCTGAGCCCGGACCTCCCTGGCCTGCTGGTGTGAGCCAATGGTGGCGTTGTTTCCCGTTCCTGCTGGCCTGGGGGTGCAAGGTAGGGGGTGGTGTTTCTTGGCATTATACCCTCAGAATAAATGCCTATTTTATCTACTAACTCTTGTCACTTTTCTCTCTGAAAAAACAGTATTTTTATTACAAAGTACTAAGTACCTACTTTGAAATGTATATAGGAGAGTGTAAAGCATTTCAGCTGATTAGGCCTAGTCTGAGTCGATATTTATTAGCTATTCACTCACTCGCTATATGGAATAGTCTATAACTTACCCCACCCAACATGTAAGTTTGCAAACAGAGAAGTTGGAAGAGTTTGTACAAAGTGCTTGTATGCGTGCTACCTGAGTTCTGTAATGAATGTTTGCTGTCCTTGCTTTATTACATTTCCAAGCCCCCACCCAAATTTATCATCAGTCCATCTCAGTTCAGAGGAGGATGTTCTGGAATCCAGTATTTATAGTCCTTTTAAAGGTACAGTTTAAATATAGTAAAAAGCACAATCATATGGAAGTAACAGGATGGCTTAGCAATTTTTCTCTGCATAACATTCCTTTTGTTAACATTTTTCACAAAACAACTAATAATACAAGTTCTTGTTTAAAGAATAACTTTGTTACTATTGAAATCATGAGTTTGAAATGCCAGTTGTATTTTTTTCTCCGGTGTATTAAATACATAACTTGGGAAGTTCCAAAGAAACACATAAGTCCCCTGGGGCCCGCGTGCACAATGATTAGGAAGACACGGCAGTTACTTGGCAGTAACTACCAGTCACTGCCAGTGACGTTCATGGCCCAAACCCCAGCACTACTGACCCTAGCAACATGGGTTTTGGAGGCTTGCAAGTCCCAGCTCTGCCAGTCGCTACCATGATCATGGGCAAGTCTCTATTCCTCTTTCTCCTCAGATTCCTCATCTGTGAAATGAGGATAATATAGAATACCAGCAAGTGCTATGGTGGCTGTAGATACTACATGCCCTCAGGGAGAAGAATAACACTCAATAAATGGTAGCTTTGCCCATGCTGTGGTTGAAATACTGCCTTTACTTTTTACATTTCTGTGTGCCAAGAGGGCCCACTAAAACAAATTGCTGAGCCCACCTCAGGCTTTCTCATTGAGTGTGGGGTAGGGTACGGGCCAAAAGTAGTCTTTTCTATTATGTGCTTAGGTGGTGCTGATGCTGCTGTTCTTAGGATACTTTGAGAACCACTGAATTATGATCCCTCCTCCCTTTGAAAAAAAGTCTTACAAACCTTTATTTAAAACTTTTTTTATTTTCAGTTCAGTAAACTTACGAATATGTTCTTCAGGCCAATGATTGTTTTGCTGTGGATAGAAAGTTAGATTTCTTTTTTTTTTTAAAGATCTATTTATTTATTCATATAGAACTGGGGTACAGGCCAGAGATGCGGAGGGTGAGAGGATTCACCAGGGACAGAGTGGGGAGCAGAACAGGCAGATCGACAAAGTACACTGCTGAGGGGAGCAGCAGGCGGGTCAGGAGAGGTCTGCCACACCATGTGGATCTCCCCCAGGGCAGGCGGGAATCAAACTCATGTGGAAGTGGCGTAAGCTTCTTAGTGCAGTGCTTTAACCTGCTGTGCCACCAGGGAGGGCCCAGATTTCTTTTTTTTTTTTTAAAGATTTATTATTTATGCATACAGAACTGGGGTGCAGGCCAGAAGTGCAGGGGATGGCGAGAGGATTCACCAAAGGCAGAGTGGGGAACAGAGCAGGCAGATCCACTGAAATACACTGCTGAGGGGAGCAGTGGGCAAGACAGGAGAGGTCTGTTGTGCCACATGGGTCACCTCCCTGGCTAGGGATCGAACTTGTGCTGAAGCAGCTGGCTGGAGCTGTGGCTAGCTTTGTAGTTTTGCAGCTAGCTTCATAGTGCTGCAATTTAACCAGTTGCACCACCAGATTTTGTTTTGATGGGTGTGTGATATTCCATCACAATGGATTGCTACAGTTTTTAATTTTGATGAAGTCCAGTTTATTTTCTCTTTGATTATTGTGCATTTGGTGACATATCTAAGACACTTCCAAGAGAAAGGTAATGAAGTATCACTCCTATGTTTTCTTCTAAGAGTTCTATAACTTAAATTCTAATATTTAGCTCATTGATCCATTTTTGAGGTTTTGTTTTGTTTTGTATCTAATGCAAAGTAAGTGTCTGTGCAGAAGAGTTAAGGCAGCAGACTCAAACTGCTTATCTGTAAGCCTGATTGCAATGTTGGTCCTGGTTGGAGTTTGGTAACTTAGGTTTCAAGAGGATTGCCACCATTAACTGATAAAGTAGCTCCCACTGCCTATACTGTTTGTGCAAGCAGTGTGGCTTAACTGAAGGCTTTTTGGATTTTGGTACATGCTAAGCAGTGACTACGCTGACCTGTTCCCAAGAAGAACCCTGGCACTGAGATTCTAACAAGCATCCCTTGTCGTCGTCAGCATTTCACAAGTGTTATCACAATTCATTGCTGGGGAATTAAGTACGTCCCATGTGACTCCCCTGGGAGAGGGGCCCTTGGACGCTTGAGTCTGGTCGCACTCAAACCTGTCCTGTGCACCTTTTTTTCTCCTTTTCTGATTTTACTTTGTCTTCTTTCACTCTAAATACATCATAGCCGGCAATATGACTATATGTTCAGTCCTCTGAGTCCTAGTGAATCATTTGAACCTTGGGGTGCTTTTGGAGATCCCCAAGACAGGGCTGAACTTCATTCTTTTGCAGGTGGTTATTCGGTTGTCCCAGCACCTTCTGGTGAAAGGACTTTCCCTGTTGATTTGTTTGGGGACCTTCTGGAAAATCAGTTGACTGGAAATGTGGGGGTTTATTTCTAGACTCTCAATTCTGTTGACCTATATGTTTGTTTATATGCCAGGACAACTCTGTCTTGATTACTGTAGTTTTGTGGTGAGTTTTTGAAACTGGGAAGTGTGAATCCTCCAAATCTGTTACTTTTCAAGATTGTTTTATGAAACAAACTCCTCAATTTCAAGCTAGTGGTGATTTTTGACAGGGATTTTATTAAATCTGTAAACCAATTAGGGAAGTATTGCTGCCTTAACAATATCAAATCTTTTGATATATGAACACTGGAATGTCTTTCCACTTAATTAGATTTTGTAAAAAAAAGATTTATTTATACATACAGAACTGGGGTACAGTCCAGAGGTACAAGGGCAATAAGAGAATTCACCAGAGATAGAGTGGGGAGCAGAACAGGCAGATCTACCGAAACACACTCTTGAGAGGCACAGCGGACGGGACAGGAGAGGTCTGCCATGCCATGTGGGTCAGCTCCCTGGCTGGGGATCAAACTCATGCTGCAGTGGCTGCAGAGAGCTTCAAAGTGCTGTGCTTTAACCCCCTGTGCCACCAGGAAGGGCCCAGACATTCTTGTCTTATTCCTGATCTTTTGGAAGGGGCATTCAGTCTTGCATCGATATGTATGAGGTTAGCCATCATTTTTTTGTAGATAAACTGATATTGAGGAAATTCCCATCTGTTTCTGATTTATCATGAAGGGGCTTTGAAGTTTGTAGGATGAATTTTTTGTAATATGTTAACTATTTTGTAGCTATTAACATGACCATGTGGTTTTTGAAATTTATCCTGTTGATAGGGTGTATTGCATTAATTCGTTTTCAAAAGTTAACCTGACTTTGCATTTCTGTTGATGCCTACTATGTCATCCACTGCATATTTAATTTTCTAGTATTTTGTTGAGCACTTTAATGTCAATATTCATGAGAGATGTTGCTCTGTGGGTTTTTTCCTTTTTTTTTTAATTAAAAAGCTTTAATTACTTTATGTTTTATTTCTTGTGTAATTTTTGCCTGTAGTTTTGGTATCAGAGTAATATAGGAATGAATTGGGAAGTGTTCCCACTTCTGTTTTTTGAGTGGGTTTGTGAAGAATTGGTGTTAATTCTTTAAATTTTTATTGAATTAACCAGTGAAACCAAATTTGGATCTGAGCTTTTTTCTGTAGATGATTTTTGCTACATGTGGTTTTTAAGTACTTTCAGTGTGGCTGGTATGCCTGAGAAAATGAACTCTGAATTTTATTTACTAGGAATTAGTTAAGTTAAATAACAGATTTCTATTTACACTATCAAACACGGGTCTTGAAGTCTGGATCTCATAGGCTGATACTGCCCTCTGTGGTCATTTTGGGAGTTTGCTGGGAGAGGTTGAACTGCACAGTCACTGAGGCAGCTATCTGGTAAGGACCCTGGTGAGGCCCAGCCATCCCCCTAAGTGCAATGTGGTCCTGTGTGCCAGGGTAATTTTACGATGCCTGAGTGGCTTTTCAGTGACCTCCCCGTCCCCAGCTCTAACAGCACATGCCAAGAATCTGACTTCCCTTTACCGAGAGCCCAAGGTATATCTGCTTGGTTTCTGTGTATACTGGTTTTTCCAGGAATTCCGCTGTCATTACAGTGAAGGAAGATTGTGTTTTGTTTCCTTCGAATCGCTACCAAGAGCTATTTACTGTGTTTGGAAAATCCCCTTGTTGAAGACAACACCTAGAGCAAAATCCTTTGTTTTTTGGCTGCATCATAGCTGCCTCATTTGTTGTGATTTTAAGCATATATTAAAATATTATGTATATATACACATATTTATTTCAAAATGTCAACTATTAGGAAAAAAATTCCAGATTTGTCTCTGCTATAATTGTCTTCTCAGCAATCCAAACTATGTCATTGTAGACAGGTGTAAATCTCTATGTGCTTCTTTCTGTCTTCTAGACAAATCATGGGTTAGCAGTTACATATTATAAACCTTTTATGTAAAAAATTTTTTCTTTTCTCCTATATACATATGTATATGTATATATGTATATATAATCCCTACATTTTATAGTGTTTCATGATATTTCTTTTAGTGTGTAGTGGAGGTCCTCCCTGGTGGTGCAACAGGTTAGATCACAACACTCTGAAGCAATCCACAACCACTGCAGCACGAGTTCGATCCCTGGCCAGGGAGGTGACCCACATGGCGTGGCAGAACTCTCCTTACCTGCCCGCTGCTCCCCTCAGCAGTGTACTTCAGTCTATCTGTTCTGCTCCCCACTCTGTCT